TTAGAGGCAGTTAACCATTGAGGAGTTCTACTATGTATCTTGCTCCATCATCAGATGAGCTCAGATAGGTTTAGAAATATTTTGTTTTATAACAAGAATGTAAATTGATAAGAACGATTGTCATGATTTTGAAATTAGCATACTTTTATTTATTAATAATTATAAAAAAAATTATTTGACTTCCTTCTAGCCATTATGTATTATAGTATTTTACTAAGATTTTATATTTATAATCTACACCGGAAATGAGTAGTCTTGTGAAGTTAGCGCCAACAAATGTTGAGCTCTGGAAGAGTAACATTAAAAAGTAAAGTAAGGATAAGGTATAAATTAAATAATTTGAAGTGTTAACCATATTGTAAATAATAATTGTAAATTAAATAAGTAAGCAACGGAGGTGCTGTTTTATTAAACGATACGAGTAATTTATAACGATTTTCGAATTTTCATTAGAACTAATAAATGAAGCTAATAAAAGTGCGCAAAAATATATCTTGATATTTATTACGAATCTGATTAAACTATCGACCGATAGAAAGTCCCGCGTATTTCGTATACGCGATCTAAATTCTATACATGTGCTCTCAATTCTCATGCTTAGTGATGATGATTGATGACACGCCGGCGCGGCGTTACAGTTTACAATAGATTTCTTAGAAAATTAATTAATTTCTTAGAAATTTACCTGGAAGTGTTAATTAATCAAACGAGAGCTCAAACAACATAATAATGTAAACCAGTAATCTAATTAAAAACCAAACTGCATAAATTTTTCGAGCCATAAAGAGATAAATTGCCTTTTTGGTCATCGGATAAAATCTCTTGGTCATACTTACATATGCAAATATGAAAATGTAAAGACTAAATAACTTAAACTAGAAAACAGTAAATACAACAAAGTTGGATATAATAAGTTTTCAGACACATTTTTACTAATAGGAAGCTGCATCATCCCTCAGCAGTGGAGCCTTGCCCCACAAAGCCTTTAAAAAATATATAATATATGAGAGAAAATGTATCAATCGAAAAAAAAATGTAATATAATAAACAAAAAGAGGAAATAAGAAATATGAAGATGAAAAAAGTTCACAAGGACTTAAACTTCGAAATCTGGAACCAAAGCTTAGGACTTCGAAATACATATTGACCACGTTGTCGTCTTCGTAGAGTTTAATCTAGCCTTGTCGGTGAGTGATATTTGATACTTTTTGTCCCGATACATCAAATGGTTCCAGTGGAATAGTGCATTGTACAAAAATTAAAGACGCCTAAATATGTAAGCAATATCCGCAACGAAACGAGTATGTCCATAATAATTCTTGCTCACTTATTAATATTACAGGCAAGCAAGCTGAACAAAGCGTCTTTGCTTAACTACGTTGCGCATCTTCTAGTTGCTTTAAGATTAGTGATATCACTATACCTATATTAAATGCAAGGATATTTTGAGCTATTTTGACCAATGTAAAGTAATAGCCGACGTAAATTATCTAAATGGCTTTAAAAATAACAATGTCACACGTATTTTATAAATGTGCGTGCCTAATGCCGTCGTGATTAGTTGAAAAGTTGATTGTAGGGGAGCCGAAGAGGGGATTTTCTGTAGTTACTCGAGCGCGGCAGTTTAATATACAGGGGGATACCTTGTACCCGGTTAAGTACCTCCACAAAACATGAGGCCCATATATAAGGCCGCCCGTGAAGGATACAGGATCAGATTAGTAAAAAAAAATTGACCACCAGAAATTCTCGAGCGCGTCAGATTAAGGTAGGGTGAGTTAATTACATCCTAAAAAGTGTATATTCCACTAATGTGACAATTTGAGAGTGACGTAAAAAAAGGGGAGGGCAACAAAATTGTAAAAAAAAACGTCACCTCGACATTCTCGAGCGTAGCTAAATTTTTTTTTATTTTGAAGGAAATAATGCAAGTATAATGAAAAATATATAATCTGACGATTTCCGCAAGCCGAAATAACAAAAATTCGTCGATAAAGTTAAATGCGTGCAGCTGCGTGATGCCTACATTTCCTTCTCCGCGTTTCTATTCCTCTCTCACTCTTTCTCTATCTATTACTCTCTCACTCCGTCCCCACTCTGGTTTCTGCCGCCATGACACCATCACAACTGATCATAAAGAGTCTAGGGATGTGCGAACATCGTTCGAATCGAATCGAATATCAATGTTTGATTCGAAATTCGAAAAATTTCGAATAATTCGTAAAAATTTCGAATAATTCGAAAGTTTTCGAATAATCCGCGAATTAATGAAATATCTCTGGATCTTCAATTGTATCCATTTAAATTCCTTCAAATCGTGTGTCAAAATAGTCTACTTACGAATAATATACTTTTCGTTTAAAAATAAATTACCCAGAGAAAACAATTGCTCATTTTTTAAATTTGCAATATATGTTCGAATTATTAGAAATTTTTCGAATTATTCGGGAACTTTCTAATAATTCGAATTTTCGAATTATTCAAAAGTTATTGCGGTTTGAAAATTCCAAAAATAGTGTTCTATGAAACTTCTATCAGACTTTCGAGCTGGGAGAGCTCAAATGCATAGAAATATTATTTCTTTGAACTCTGCGAGCTCAAAATATCACATAAATTATATTTTGAGCTCAAAAATGCCATAAGTACAATTTTAAGCGCACAGGAATGGAATTAGCGGGAAGTTGCAATGGCCTTTAAGGTGAACCGTTTTTCTAATTTTTTTTTTGTCAGATCAGGCGAATCCCTCTAGATAATCGTCAGATTATGAGACAGTACGTTTAGAACATAAAGATGAACCATATATATCTTAATCTGACGCGCTTGAGTATTTCAAAATGGCGATTTTTTTTTGCACATTATGAAAATGGCCGCGAGTTTGCGTCCCATCGAAATCGTCAGATTAGTGAATGAGAGCTTTTTTTTGGTGCACTTAACACTCCCTTAGAAAATCTGACGCGCTCGATTAAATTTTTTTTTTTTTCATTTTCAACCCTTAAATACAACCACCCGCATCATGCAAACGATCAGATTAACATACGTACATTATTAAAAATACGTAGGGCATTTATGCTATCAATATCTGACGCGCTCGAGGATGTCTATGCAACAGTTTTTTTTTTACATATTTAAAAATCTATAGCCGCTTCCCCCACCGATGTAAAGGTATATATCATATAACATTTTTTTCTTCTTATCATCTAAGCTTTGCATCCCAATAGGTCTCTACGACGCTCGAGTAAATCCCCATTTAGCTTCGTGGGCTCCCCTACCATGAAGCTTCAAGAGGTTACAAGCAAGGAAAGTTTAGTACTTATGCACTTTTACTTATACATTTTTTTACTTATACACTTTTACATTACATACATACGAAATTCAAGAAAATTTTGTTTTTATTTATTGCTCTACTGCTTTTAATGCTAGATAAGGTAAATATCAATAATATAAATTAACTGGAATACAACTACAGATCCGGGAGTATAATTTGTCATAAAAACTTTATTTAAAAAAATATATATTAGATATTCGAAAAATACATATTAGATATTCGTATCTTAAAATATTATCGGCTGGCTCCGACTTCGAAAATATCTGATTAGGTATCTATTCTAAATGAAAACCCCCGTTTAGTTATTTTTTACATTTTAGTGCCTGGAAGTCGCATTTTTTTTTTAAGTTTTTATTTTTCCATTTTTAGTGTAGACGTAATAAACAGGTAATTTGTAAGAAGAAAGTTTTTTAATAACATATTCGGTTAGTTTTTTTTTTATATTTATTGTTATTTTTTCAAATACCGCTTGACCGATTTCGATAAAATTTATATGAGACCACCTGGGAACAAAAAATTTTCCAAATCGGTTCAGGCGTCTTCGAGAAATCGGTGAACATACATTAAAAAAAAAAGAATCCGACGAATTGAGAACCTCTTCAATTTGGAAGTTGGTTAAAAAAAATTAAAGTTTCCTTATTATGAGAGAAATATCTGACACTTTTTTTTTATTATGGATGCCTATTGCATTCATCGCGTTACAATCATTTTATTAATAAATAGGTCTGATAGGTTTTTATTTTGTTCTTTTTTTCACAGCAAATAAGCAATAGACTGCTATGATTTTTGCATAGAGTTTATGGGCCCTGTTATTTTTATCTAAATACATCAAGTTTTCATAAAAAATTATTTTGCAAAAGTCACTTTGTCACTAAATAATATAGATCAATTTGCAACATAAATTACGAAAATTAACCTCACCATACCTCATATTATCTTTCTTATTTCACTCATTATTTAAATTAGTTTGACCAACTGGAATACTAATGTTTGAGAAGCTTTTGACAATTATCAGTTATTTAAATATTTAGTTAACTTACTTGTTTTAAAATAATTGATATCAATTTATAAAATACGTGTGTCAATTTATAAAGTAAGTGGCTCAACCTCGCTTCTTTCCGGTTCGCCTCTAGAAAAATAAAAACAGTCTATCCCACAGGACCAGGACTTTCCAAGATAAAAATTAGCCTAGGCGCTATTCCAGACTATAATCTATCTCTGTGCGAAACTTCATTCAGATCCAGCCGTTTTGGCGTGATTAAGTAACAAACATCCAAACATCTAAACTTTCACATTTATAATATGAAGTAAGATATTCATATTAAATAATGATAGTGATGTTTAAATGTGTTTTGTGGTGTGTTCAATTAAAAACAGATCCTGTAATGTTATCATAATATTTATGAAGAAAACGTTTAAATATTATTGCAAGTAATATAATAAAATTATATTATAAACCAATATTAAACATAATTTCTTGTAGTCATTTAAATCTTCAAATACATTATATGACTGTATCAAAGATGTTTTATATTCCATTAATACTTGAATGTATATTGAGATGGCATAATATATATAATATATATCAATGAATACAAAAGATTTTATAATTTTTTCTCATAAGTTTTTTAAAATTATTTTTTTATAACATTAAATAGATTATTATATCACTTACCTTAGGAACTTTGGCAAAGTACCCAGTTCTTACATCTCTAATGGTTGCAATATCCAGCATTTCAACTTCCATATTCTGGTCTGTCCAGTATAAGTAGTATCCTTTTGGATCCACTCGTAGTGTAACTGGTAGACCGACTCCCGAGTCCTATAAGAAAACCCATTATAATAATATATGTAAATAAAATTTAAGTTTTCCATTATTACAAATTAACATCATGTTATACCATTAAATTTCATTAGATATATACTTAAAATATTTTTATTTTCAAGCACTTTTTCAACTGACATACTAAGTTCAAAGTTTTAAACTATTTGGAAAGTTTAATTTTACTAAAATTTTAACAATCAATTTTACACAAAATAAATAAAATGCTAATCAAAACTATTTTACATACTGTATGAGACTGCTTTTACAAAATTAGAATTAAATTAGTTTATAAAATCACAAAATTAGGATATTTCTAAATTGATTCTTAACTAGTAAGAGAACTTTGAACATATATAAACAAAACATAATAATTAATTTTTATTTCATTAAAAAATATTCTACTTCATGTTGATACTGATATAAATATGTTACATACCTCATCCCATTTGATAAACTTTTCTCCTTCTTGCAAAGCCTTAGGCACTTCAATCGGTTTTATAGATACGTTTGCAGATTTTGTAGTTGTCGTCATCTTGAATAATAAACAATTACACGGCAATCGTAGCACTATCGTAGATAAAAACCATCATCTTCCTCCCAGAAAACAAATCTAAGATATTTATCAATGGTTCACACACAGTAAAGGCACAGTGTACAATTTCTGTTATAACACAAATTAACACTAAAATATTAACAACTAACTTAAGGCGTTACACTAATGATAAGAAGGTCTATATCTTCTACAACACGATTATTTCACACATACTCGCTACACGACGAAACAGAACCACCGAATATTTAGAAATGTCAAAATTCACTTCTATTCCCTACCTAGGTAGTAGTACTCACTCGGATACACTGTATTAAACTAACAGCTAACTTATCGAAAATGAATCGGATAATTATTGTAACAAAATATTGTATTAGCATCACAAGCTCAAAAATAAAGTATAATGTAAAAAAATAAAAAAAAGTGTGCAATAATTATTGCTTTTGCAATTAAGCAAATTTATTAATAATTAAAAATAAGAATCTGATTTCTGTATTAAAATCTACTAATAAATATATTATTTATTTGTAGATTAAAATAAAATAATTCTGATTATTAACAACTTTTTACGCTTCGAAGAGCTGCAAACAAAAAATAACCCCTGTCTTGGTAATTATTATACATATATTGATTACTTATATAAAGATCTAAGGTTCTATGAATATTGATTAGTTTATTTAGTATAATCTATGGAACTTATTTAAGCAAAGGATGACATTGACATTAACAACATGAAAGAACAAAAAGTTTTAGCCCGTGAGCGTAGTTGTTTAAGCTTTACTCTTTAGAATGAAAAGGATGTGTAAATTCTATTATAAAAAGCTAGTTATCTAAATTTTCATTTATTTAGATAGAGTAAAGAATACTTTATAAATAAATATACTGTAGTGTATTATAAATATAAGTTATATCTGCATAGGGGGGGAATTTAAAGAGTATATAGTTCGTCGCTCAATATTTATATATTTATATGCAATGGCAAATTCTGTAAACATATCAATAGAAGCTCCTATCGAAAATCAAATACAAGAAATTACTTACGATGGACAAGAAATCTATCAAGCGTAAGTGTTTTCAATTTTTAAACACCTACTAATAACACTTTTACATCTATTGTTTTTAAATTAACTTAGCATACTAAAATATATCTATACTACAAGCAAAATATTATACTTTGTTTACATGAAGCTAATTATTGATTTTGCAGACCTCTATCTATGTCAGAGAATCTCACTCGGTTAGCACAGAAAATAGACTTCTCTAAAAGTGATGATGAATTCTGTAATATTAAAAAGGAAGGTGAAAGTAGTTCTGAAGTAAAATTAGAAGAAGACAAGGAGCCAGGGTATCAGTCTAGCTTATGGCCATGGGATTCTGTAAGAAATAAACTAAGAAATGCATTAACTGAAGTATGTGTGCTTGCTGATGTACTGAGTATTGCTAAAGAAAAAAGGTATATGGTAAGTACAAATAACATTTTCAACAAATTTCTGATGTAAAAAATATATACATGAATATATTAAAGTCAATAATATGGTTAAAATTATTATTATGTGAAATAATCTTTTGCATTTCAGGTGCTTGATCCAATACAAGCAGATCAAATTGAAAGCCGTCCAATGGTACAGGTTTATGGTCGAAAAAAGGCATTGTCTGCTGCTGGAGCAGTACTTCTCAATGGTGTAGAAAGACTTAGAGCCAGTGAAACTATGAGAATGACTCGTAATATGCCAGATTTTCATATAGATTTGCTACGTCTTAGGCAGAATTGGAGATTAAAGAAAGTGTCAAATACAATTGTTGGAGATCTAAGTTACAGAACAGCAGGATCAAAGTTCAGTCAAACTGGAGTTTTTGAGGTATTTCAATATTTTATGCTTAATTATTCTCAATTAATTGAAACAATTTTTGCTGAAAAATAATATTTTACTTTTTATGTTATGAAAATGTCACACGTTTAGTGAATGTGAAGGAATGAGACATTTTTCTCTATACATTATACATTGATTTATTATTTTCAAATTGTACTTTTTTTCTGGTGTAATAAAGGATTAAATAATACACCTACTATCACCAATTATTTGCTAAATTCATTTTTAATTGTAATTGTAACATTAAATTTGCAAAAAATTTGCAATAGTACTAGTAATATAATTTACATGTATTTAGTGAAGCAGGTTCAAATCCCGGGTCTCACACGTCTGATATTTTCATGTGAGAATAATATAGAGCAAATGGTAATCATGCTAGAAATTATAATTTCTAACATGATTACCACTTATGGTGAAGGAAAACATAGTGAGAAAACCTGCATGTCTGAGAGAACCTAGCAAGCTTTCGAAAGATATGTGAAGACCCCTCTCTCCCGAATCGAAGGGAGGCCCGTGCCCAGCTGTGGGACGTTAAAATGGGCTGAATACATACTATTTGCTAGTAATGCGAATTATTACTAATTAACAGTATTATTATTTAGTATAACACTTTTAAATCGTTACTTGTAGGTAACAAAAGCACCAGAAGAGCAAATAGCTCAAGCTATGAGCATGAATGCTACGGGCCCAACGCCCTCGGCCTTGCGCGTCACAGTGCCCCCGGAATTGCAAGGCGTTGCATTCATATCTGTTGTTTGTCAGAAAGGTATGCAGGATATCAAATTTAGTTAGATTTTTTGAGTACTCATAAAATTTAATTAAAATGGATCTTCTAGAATATAATTTTTAATCAAAGAATTAAGCATACATTATATATTTAATACCTGGACGACCAAGCCTCATTAGGTATAGGCGTTTGTTCAGAAAGTTATCATTCATTATACAAGATGGTATGCTATATGACATTGTCAGCATGAGAGCAAATGGAAAAAGCTCTAAGAATTAGTTATAAAGTAATGTTATTTTATTGTGTAACATTGCATTATACATAAACTTAAAAAGCAAAACCTTCCCTAAATAAAAATTATAAGTTTATATACAAGATATAAATTACATTTTATACTATACAATACTTATTATATAATATTTCAGAACAAGAAGAAGTAGTAACAGCAACATTAAGTTCATCAGCATTGAACTGTCCGGGCACTTTGCCCGGCGATGGGGCAGAGCTTCATTGGCAACAGAAACTAGAAGCGGCTCAAAATGTACTGTTCTGTAAAGAATTATTTGCAAGAATGGCAGCTGAGGCTGTGCAGTTAGATGCATCTATACCACATATGGTTGTGGGCAATCAAATTATGGCTACCGTGAGTATTTTTTGTATTTTAGTTTGTATGTATGTATATATATTGCTATGTGTTTTTTACTATAAGATATAATTTTATATAGCAGTCTGTTTAAGGAGATCACATGATGTGAATGGCATTTAATTATAACTTTAAATCGGATTTAAGTAGTGTATCAAACAAAATATTATAATTTTTCTATATATATATTATATTTGTTATCCTTAACAATTGTTTTTTCGATACAGCATATTGTTCTCGTATGTCATAATTTTTGTGACAGTTCTTATTATGTTATTTTATTTGAAAATATTAAATTTTTGAAGTTATTATATACTACATTCTAAAAGACAATAGAAATTCAGTACTTGATTTCATATATTTACAATTTAAAATATTATTCCTAACAAAAACCATTGAAGGATAAATCATAAATGCTTACTTTATTGCAGGTCCTCCCTGGTATCCAGCTATTGATAGGTCTCTGTCATAACAACGGACAAAATAATAGTAATCCAGATTCTGTTAAGGTATATTGTAATCTATACTAATATTATAAAAGGGCAGAGTTTGTTTATTTGGACATGTTAATCTCAGGAAGTACTAATCCGATTTGAAAAATTCTTTTTGCATTAGATAGCTTGTTTATTGTGGAAAGCTATAGGCTATATATCAACATGCTACTGCGCAAGGGAGCGGAGAGCTAATTATTGTAAAATTATATACATACATTATATATACACATAGGGACGAACCCGAGCAAAGCGAGGGTGAGTCGCTGTATAACGTTTTTTTGTAGATTGAACACTGGCGAAGCCTCGGGTTCTGCTAGTTATAACTATATTAACTGTATTATTAATGTGTAATAATGTTATTTTTAATTTAAAAATATAATTCCTATATATTCTGTGCTCATTTTTTAAAGTGCAAGTAAGTAAATTCATGCAATATTATTAACAATAATAGCTAATCGATGGAAAGAAAACTTCAATATGAATTCGAATGAAATATTTAATTCATATATAATAAGTTGACCTTTAACCTTGTCACCTTATTTTAATATAAAATTATGCAGCTTTTATCCTGGATCCATATGATCCAAAATGAGGGATTTAAATGGTATCTTTGAATTTAATGAAACTGCACAATGAAATACCTAGTATATAATATTTGAATGAAATACCTATCAAATGCTAAAAAATGTCAAAAATACCAATTATCACTGTAAACGTTCTGGGAGTTGGTACTGTAGTGTTATCTCTTGCAAGTTAATTATACCCGTCAACCGTAAAGAGTTACCAGAATGACATATTTAAATATGAAATATGTTGGAACATTAACACACAGCACTATCTAGTTCCATGGTAAGCTACAAGGCCTGTGTTATGGATATCAGATAGTTGAAACACTCACTACACATATATAACTTTAAATACATGTACATATTATAAATATAAACACCCATGACTGGAATACAAACATTCGTGCTCATGACACAAATGAATACCTCAGCGGGACTCGAACCCGCGACTGCTGGCGCAGCAAGTAGGAACACTACAAACAGCCAAATTTGTCGTCAGATGTACATATTATATAAAAAGTATGGTAATCAGGAGCGCCTCACCTGTCTCCCTGCCACGCCTCTTACGAAAGAGCGAAAGAATGTGGGAATGTCTGGATGGAATACATAGTGGAAACGTTTGGGAAAACGCTAGTTCTGTTTGTGTGTTTGTCTGCGTGTATGCTTGTGTGTGCTAATACAGTATAACGCCGCAGGGCGAGGAGCGCAGCAACAAGAACGAGCACGACCACGTGCTGGAGCACTCGCTGCACCAGCTGTTGCGCGCCGTGCACCACGCCAACACGCACCACCCCTTCCCGCACCCCGCCACCGGCCCGCTCGGGCCCTCCAAGCGCCGCTCCGTCGCCGGTCGGTACGCACGCGCACACACACACACACACACACAGGCACACGCACGCATAGACATACATATTTTTTGAAAATCTTATTGAAATAGACATTATTATCGATACAGAGGCCGAATCTATAGATTTAGAATTTTGTCTGTCTGTATGTCTGTTACCGCATCACGGAAAAACCACTGGAGGGATTTTGATGAAATTTGGTATGGCGATAGCTGGTTATCCGGGTCAACATATAGGTTACTTTTTATCGCGGGAAAATGTCTCATTTCTGAGAAAAAATGCAAAAACTGCAATGTAAGAGTACTAATCTGTAATACCGAAGAATTTGGTTTTTGGTTTATACTTTTTAGTGCGGGAAAATATCTCATTTCTGAGAAATCTATACTGAACGTTAAAACGTAAGTAGGGACGAACCCGAGCAGAGCTAGGGTGAGTCACTAGTCTTTCATATAATCATTTGTTGTATAACAACAACCTTAGCACACAAACATTATTTTACATTTTCGTTTTAAATTTTATTTTAATTAAACATATTATTTTCAATTTTATTGTGCACTTTAGGTCCAATGGCGGCAGACAGATACGAACTGTTAGATATGAGCAAAGAGCAGTCTCTATTGGAGCAGATAATCCAACAAGCGCAGCACTTCTTCATGCGCCGTCGCAGTGAATACGTGCTAGATACTATCGCTAAGGAGGTGGGTTCAGTTTGGTTTTACTCGATTGTACCAATGAAGGTTGTGTTTAGAGGATTTTTAGTTAATATTATTACTGTTTGTTTGTCCAGAATTTTATTTATTCCATGGAAAAGTTGTATCATTTTGGGATTACTTTATTCTCTCTTGTTTTGTATGTTATTTTGAAATGAAGATTTAAATAATAAGTCCGTTTAAATATTATATAGGTATCATGTGATAATTTTCGATTCCCATTCGTTTTTTTTTTTGTAAAATCGACACTTATATCATAAAGAGGAAAGATTTGTATTTTTGTATGCTTGGAACGAATAAACTCAAAAACTACTTTACCGATTTAGATGAAATTTGGAAGAAGATAGTTTGAGACCCTGGAAAAGACATAGGATATCTTTTATTCCGGAAATCTTAAGGGGATGAAAGTTTGTATGGGGAATCAACCTAGGGACGAACCCGAGCGAAGCAAGGGTGAGTCACTATTCTGTGTTCATATTTCATGCTTCAGAGTAAAAGGGGTCTATTTCACACAGCTGTTAAAATATATTTCCGAAATCGCTGTATTTTCATGTTAAATGCAAAAATTAAAGAGTTTAGTCCCCTTCTTCAATTACTTTCTATGCTGCTATTTTTCCAGTATCGTTGAGTTTATACGAATATGAATTGTTATAGACTAATGAATAAATGTGATAACTATGGTGAATGAATATAAATGAAATTTTGATGTATCTGTACGTAGGTAAAGGATCCACTGATAGTGTCTCACTGGAACGCCCTGAACAGCCCCACGCAGTCCTGCGTGAAAATCAACATCATGGCATACGGGTAATTTGTTATTTTTATTGGCTTATATTTTATTTTATAAGGAAATATATTTTTTTATATCAGAAGATATGTCAAATATAGAATAAATATCAAATATTCGCGTAAATCTAAGAGAGTATTAAGTAATACTTGTTGAAAGGCGTTTTTGTATTTTTTTTACATTTATAAGAATAGCAAAAATATCAAATATTTTTGAAATAAGATTAATAACTTATTTTCCATTCTAAATATTTTGTTTCTATGTATAGTCTTGTATAGGCACAGATTATAATAAATTAAGTATTATATTTTTAATTCCACTAATTTTCATCAACAAAAAATATATATTGGGCCTCTGTATCTATAGTAATGACTATTTCAATAAGATTTTCCAAAAAAAAATTAATGTACAGATTCGACTCGGAATTTTATTATATGTATCGATCTAGATTATTTTTAGTTTTAATCTGATACCATTTCTAAGCCGGTACAACATAAAGAAGTAAAAAACAAACTTACAAGCTTTCGCATTTATAATTTTAGTTTTAGTATTAGCAACAAGTTTATAATATGTTTAAGTGCTTTAAAGGTCAGAAATTACTAAGTCCATTTCAAAATTGCCTTTTGCATGAAGCTAGTTTTTTTTTTGTATTTTTATCGTGAGCGAAGCCGCGGGTTCTGCTAATCTATACATCCATGCTCTATACAGATAAATAAAATTGAAGTGTCTGTTTGTAATGTCAAAATAACAGCTTTTTACTAAATGCGTATGAAATTGTATACGGCACTTATAAGGGAAAAAAAAGATTTTGTATATTATTGTCTGTCTATCTGTTTGTTCCGGCTAATCTTCGAAATGGCTGGACTGATTTTGACGGGATTTTCACTGGCAGATAGCTGATGTTATGAGGAGTAACCTAGGCTACTTTTATTTCAGTAAAACAATTAGGTAATTAGTTCTGCTCAAAAAAATTAAAACTTACTTAGGGACGAACCCGAGCGAATCGAGAGTGAGTCTCTAGTGTTTATTAAATATATATGTTCAAGTGCTTTAAGGTCAGAAATTACTAAGCCCATTTCATAAATGCCTTTTGTATGAAGCTAAAGTTTTGCTTTGTACTTTTATTGCAAGCGAAGTTGCGGTTTCTGATAGTAGATAATATAAATGAATCTTTTAGTAGATAATATAAGTATCCTAAGTATCCTTCGATCAGATATGACGCAGTGTGCCGGACGTCGCTGGTGGTGCACGTCGGGGAGAAGACGCTCAAGTGCATCTGCCGGGACGGCAAGGTGCGCCATCTCTCCTACGAGCTGCAGGAGCTCAGGGACCTTATATATTGCCAGGTTTGTGCTTGTACTCGTTACTGTTATTTGTGTTATTTGGTCATTTTGTTATTCGGGTCCCGTACTTCAAAAGGTAAAAAAAGGAACCCTTATAAGATCACTCTCTTGTCCGTCTATCTGTCTGTCCGTGGGTCACCACCAATTTTCTCAGGAACGGGTGGACCTAGCAAGTTGTTTATACCAGATACTCCTATTAGGTGTATAAAAATCAAGGTCCTGAGTCAACACGATAAAAAGATATGGGCAGATTTAGATTTTCGCGAAATTTCAAATTTCAAAATTTTTCAAGACTAACTCGTGCCTAGGTTTCGCCATTTGAGTTATAACGACATTTATATACCCTATCACAGTCGCGTTATCAAGACGAACTATCGAAATTTGTTAAGCCGTTTAGAAATTATGAGGCCACAAAAGATCAGATATACATAAAGATAAAATACATAACCCTTCTTCGGGCTTCGCCGCAGTAAGGTTAATGTTAATTTTATTACAAATTATTAATAATTCCTCACTAAAGCATTAGCAAAAATTTTCTGTCCTTATCAGTTTGTATGCTAATATGGGACAGAGAAAGCGCTTTGCATGGTACACTCCGTGAATAGATATAGATAGTTGTATTGTACACGTGTGTGCAGATCTACCAGCACCAGATGACGGCGGTGCAGGCGGTGGGGCGCTGCATGGGCTGGCAGCTGCTGGCCAGCAGCGCGCACCTCGGCGCCGGGCCCGTGGAGCCGCTCGGCAACGCCTCCTCCTGCCTGCTCGCATCGCCAAACGGTACTGATACATCTTAAGGAGTCTGCCCACTACATCTTCTCAAACCATGACCGCGCTAGGACCGTGTGAGGAAAAAAAATATTCTTAGTATAGAAAAGTATGAGACTCTGCCCACTAGACCGTTCCTTCACCGACCGGCAACGTCGCGTGCCGTGCACGGAGCGGTAACAATTGTCGGCGAGAATATTTTACCGGTGCCAGTACGTTCCGTGCCTGGCACGCGACTTCGCGGGACCGGTGCCCACGGGCGGCGCAATTGTGAGCATAGGCAGCACCAAAACCGGAAAGTACAGGTATGACACGCCGTTAATACGATATAGTGGACATAGTAGTCCGTGCCAAGCTCATTTCCGTGCCTGATACGTTCATGGTATGAGACGGTGTAGTGGGCACTTGTGCAGACACCTTTAGTCTATACTAATAATATAAAGAGAAAAAAATGTTTTTTGTATGTTTGTTTCTAATTGATAACCTAAAAATCTGCTAAACGGATTTAGATGAAATTTGATATGAAGATAGTTTGAGACCCTCAGATGGCCATAGGATAGTTTTTGTCTTAGAAATCTCTGAAGAAGATGAAAGGGGGAAAGTACCGTAACCGTACCTAAGGACGAAGTAAATTTAGTAGTCTATACTTTTATATGAAATCGGGAAATGGCGTTATAGTTGATGGGCATTTGCGTTTAAATGTTGAGTTCTATTTTTGTTATATTGTATGTATTATTGTAATTGTCATGTCATCTATACTAGTATAGTATTATGTCAGTCATGACATAATACTACACTAGTATAGATGCCCCATTTCATAAAAAAAAATGGATAGCGCGAAATATAATAAATATTGCATATTTCATCCTGAATTTTACTTAAACACATTACAGTGACATTAATAGTTTTTATTTTTAATCGTGATGAACAATTCTTGAAAAGTATAAGCACGATCTGTGAATATGCACTACAAATTCATTACTTCATTTCTGATTTTTCAATAACATACATTTTTGTAATCAATTTATCTTTTGTTAATTTTACACGAATTTTAATAACCAATCGATACATATAATGCCATCTATTTTCATTTATTTGAACTAATTTTTCGTGGTGCGTTTCTACGCAGCACTCTAAACAAACAGTGCTATCTCTGTGTATAGAAGTGTCCGTCAAAACGCGTCCAATAAAGGTGGCGCTGCTGTAGCGTAAGATAAATTTTAAAGCGCCAAAGTAATGAGAGTAGGATAGAGAAATAAACAAGGACCGGATTGGACACTCCGTCTACAACACCTAACTGCATGTCGTAGTTTTTCGATCGATAGTGCCATATATTTTCACCATACAGGTGGACACTTTTTCAACTTATCTCCCATAACTCCCCATACGTCTACCCTCTATACGTAAGACATGCTGCTAGTAATTCAACGTTATTTGTGTATGCCATACTCTTTTATACATACGGCGAATACTGGCGCCAATGAGCCTTACTATGTTGAAATGTTGTAGTTCTTTTGGCTTTAAATAACATTGTAGAAATATCCATGAGCACATACATTTCATATTAGGTTTGCTATTTTGAAACTTTTAGGCAATTATTATAGATTTTTAGACTTTATTTATATATTTTTTTATTTTTTTCACAGGCGATAGAATGATAGCAATAAGATGCGAGCCTTCAATTGCAATACAAGTGTTCATCGCTCAGTCTCCAAGAAAAGACTTCTTTGTTAGCGAATTAGTACAAGATAAAAAATGGGAAAACCTCGGTGGTGCCTTCAAAGAAGTGAAACTTGAAAAAATGGAGGGCAAAAATTTCCTCAACAAAATGGAATTGCTCATGGCGTGTTTGAGTAGTCCTTCATAAGGATCATTGTTAAATGTAGGAATAATTTATTGTATACTGTCTTTTTACAGATTAAAAAAAAATACAAACTCAATTTTGTGTTTTTTATTTATTATACATAAGGAAACTTAGCCCATTAGGTGCTTAGGTAAAATGTTAAAGATTTACTGAAGATTGTTCATTATCTTGATGTAAGATGATGCAAAATTAAAATTAATTCCAAGGAACTGAAACAAAAAATACACATTAGTATCATTCTAGTCAAAGTAATAATAATAGGGTTGTTTGGTATACAATTTCACTTATTGTGATATATGTTATAATAGGCAGATTTTAAAACATATTTTGTTAGGAAAGAGTACAGTAAGAATTAAACTTTATTATAAATAATGGTATCTTTCATATATTAGAAAAATATTAAAACATCAAAATAAATGATATACATAATGAATAAAACATATTTAAATATATTTCATGTGAAACAAATTGTGATGCCAGACAGACACATTTTTAATGAGTGAAAGTGAATAGCATTTTGCTTTGCCATTACACATTACAAACTATTTATTTAAGCAATTATTCAATGTTAACTTTAATTTCAATAAATAATTATTTGACATTTAAACAAATGTTTAATTCATTTACAGATACCTGAATAAATTTTATTTCATTAAAGATTCTGTGACGCTATGAACATATTAATCACAAAGAATTAATATACATGATATATCATTATAATGAATATCTTTTTTATGGCCTCATTTTTCTTTTATGCTGATAATAACTATGTCAACAGTCTGTTACTGTTAGAATAAAAATGAACATAAATCATAAAACATACTTTACAAATTGACACTTTTCTCATATATTTTTTTTTTATTTTAAACTATATATATATATATATATATATATATATATATATATATATATATATATATATATATGTAACATTTGAATTCAAATGTAGCATCAGTAATATGAATTGTTATCAAAGACGAGTTGAAAGTCCAGTAACATTTTATCATGTCAATTTTGAGGTTAGTTTTTATAAATGCCGCTATATATAATGTAATTTAAAAGCACACTTTACACTTATTGGTTATGATAGTTACATTCAAGTTTTGATACCATAAAATAGTGAATTTTAGACTTAATGACAAAATAATATTTAGGTAATAGCACAATTTGGACACCAACAAAGTTGTTGCATCAGGCCATGTTTTTCATGTTAAGTACCTATTATCAAAAACATGGTTTGTAATTATGCCATTGACAGTGTTTTCTTATTTTTATGTGAAAATTATATTTTAAAGACACAAATTTGATTAATTGAATATTATTAATATAATAAAATTGTACATTACCTCTAATTCCTTGGACATCAACTTCATTAATCCTTTGAAGCATTAAACCCCCAGTATTAAACAGACATTGAATTTTTAACACTTGGAAGGCTTCAGATTACGATAACACTAAACCTAACTAAATGCTAGAATTAAATTAACTTCGACTGATTGGTGACCTAGATCTGTTGTTTCCACCATAACCTGAGCCATACCCATTGCCTTGGCTGTTACGATTGAAAGGTCTGCCGCCCCCGTACGATCTACCACCGCTCTGGGAGCCTCCGAAGGAGCGCCCTCTAAAATTACCACCGCGACCACCTCTAAAGTTACCACCGCCCCGACGCGGACCATCTCTTTTTCTTGATAGCTCTACTTTTAAGGTTGCGCCTAACATTTCGACGCCATTCATCTCGTTACAGGCGTCCTCAGCCTCCTGCATGTTTTCAAATTCAATGAAAGCAAAGCCTGGGGGGTTAAGTGCGACCCACACGGAGTTGAGCTTGCCGTACTTGTCGAACTCGCGTTCTAAATCTTCTTTTTTAATGCCCTCCACGAGACCGCCCACATACACGCGAGTTCCTCCTGAGCTCATGGTGATATTTCTACAACCAAATTTCAAAACTTAACGAGTGATAACGATTGTTAGCGGTGAATGCATAAATACAAAGAACTAAACAAGATGTCGTCACGTCAATAATGATGCCACGACACCCGAATTATATATTAAGATTATAACCATAAAATGAATACTCACGTGTTTTTAGAATTGAGGTGCACGTTAATATAAACTAAAATTATATGTAATGTTTTATTTTATGATTTATAAACTAAATCTATTTTTACTTTACTTAAAATATGAAAAACGGATCAATGAAGTTGATGATTGAATGGTAAAGAAAGAACGAACGGTTTTGATTGAGTACTTCGAATCAGTGTTGCAAGATACAAAAAAAAATAGATACAGAAGTTATATCATTGAGATAAAAAAATGCAGTTTATTTAACAATAATAAAATTAAAGTAATCAATAATACAAAAGTATTTAATATATGCTAAATTATAATATCTTATTTACAATTATAAGGTTTTTTCAATGTTTTAATTTTATACATTGGAATAATAAAGTTTGAACGAATGATATAATATGCTCTGACTGATTCAGTGAAAGGTGAGAATGAATGCCTATGACGTCGATATAAAGTTGTAGTGGAGGGGAGGAGGCTTTTCAACCAAAAACAAATGAGGTAGGAGGAAGGTAGGGAGGAGGGTATGGAGTATACGAAACCGGCCAAACTACTATATTCAACGGTCGCGCTGTGGCGCGTGTTTTCGCTTATTTTTCTTTATATACAGCCCCTCCTTTGTTCTGTTGTTTTAATAAAATTATTAAATAAATACAACTTGAATTAAATTTAAATATAAAAAATCTCGAGTTTCATATCAACATAAAATTATTTATCAAATACCTATCACCGATGTGCTGTGTAGACTTTGTGAATAATACCTGTGTGTTTGTCGAAGTGTAAGGAGGCAGGTTGTATTAGTGCAATGAATTTTTAACAGTTGGATATGTGTTTCAAAGATATGGGGGTGCAGAAAAGACATAGTCAATTTAGTGATACAAAATACAAGTGGCGGACGGTAGTGTTCTTTTTGTGTTTTGTGTGGTGCAATGGTCAGGAGATAAGAATTGGAGAGACGGACCCTTACATGTTGAATAAGTCATTAGGACTTACTGAGTTACCCGGTGGTGTGCTTGCAGCAGGAAGAACTGTGTGGAAAAATGAGGGTATTCCATATCTACTTCGAGATGATCTCTTGGTGGACAGAGAGGCAGAGCTCGTGGTGGAACCAGGAGTTGAAGTTAAATTCGCACCGATGATCGGCATCACCGTTCGTGGCAAGCTACTTGCGATTGTAAGTAAACGTTTCTAGAATCATAATATCTTATGAATGTTTAATCGTATTAAAACTAGTTTTAATCCCGTCTATGTTACTACGACATTCCTTATTCAATAAAAAATCGCTTCTAAGAATAATGGCAAGCACTTTCTTTGAAAATGTTTATATATACTATGACTATTCTGTATTCGCTAAATGGATATCTACTTACTTTAATTGATTTGTATATAAAATTATTCAAACTATGCATTTAGCGAAATATATGCAAAGATAACTTTATTTATGACAAATTATCATAATCTGCAGAGCTCTCACTGCACTGATAGGTGCAATAAATGTCTTTAGTCTGTGTCATCAGTGAGATAATGTAATGAATGAAATAATGAGATCACATACATAATATGTAAATCTAGGCATATCATAACCGGCGCTAGCAGAACAGGATTCCAATAAGATAATAATTACTGCTCGATTTTTTTTTTTAAATAGATATATGTGTCACGTGCAATTTATTACACAGCTTCATCATATAGATTAAACGAGCAGTATACATAGATTTTTAGATTTGACCATGATCACCGCCATTTATATTATTGGCAATCTCAGTAACCTTGTGTAATATTTATATATTACTCACGTAATGAAATTACCAAAATGACGAAGACGCATTTCCGTAATTCTGGAGTTTAGGTACCTAAAACACTCAGACATCCAAAATCATAAACTTAAATACAAATATATTATACAATATAGAAAAATAGGCCAAACTTCAAATAAACAATCATAAAACAGGTACGTCCCTTCGATTGATAGCATTTGATAAATTACGGTACTTTGATAAGGGCGCGTAGACAGATAACAATATCGCACGCTCTATTGATTCGCTCACCTGTTGGAATAAAGCAAACACTTACATAATATTAGCAAATAACTTGAAAATGACAAAGGTAAAATAAATATTTTACCATATTTCTTAACAGCAAGTGGATTTACTTTAAAATTCCATATAGTTTTGTAGTTACAAATAATAGGACTGAAGTCTTGATCTTTTTAAACTTTCAATTTGTATTTGAGCTCTCACGAATATTGTAATTTGTAACACGTGATTTGACATTGATTTCAATTCAATCTTCAGGCTCATATAATTCAAACGTCATCTATTTATATTCTATAGGTACATATAATATGTATGTGTATGTATGTATGTAATAAAACAGTTACTTAGCGAAATCGATGTGCGCGTTTCGCGCAAAAAGTACTGAACCGATTTTAATTAAATTTTGTGTAGTGATAACTCATTACTCCGGTCAACATTAAAGATACCTTTTGCTACAGGAAAATCTTTCATTCCCACGGGAAAACAGAATAACTGGTTCTATCGAGTCGACCTTCGATAAGGTATTGTTGATCGAAGGAGTCTTCCTTAAAAATGTATTGGTATGGCTGACGCTAGCTGGCTAAATCAGAGATACATCAAAACAATGTACTACAAAATTGTACGTCATACGAGTAAAAGGCCTACAGAAAAGTCCACAGTAGTATATATGTCTATCTCCTAAGGTAGGTATACTCGTAATAACTATTTTTATCTATATCATATGACTGATATTATAAAGTTTTGTGTTTGTTTTTTTTTGTTTGTAATGGATAGACTCAAAAATTACTGGACCAATTTTAAAAATTCTTTCACCTAGCAAAAGCTACATTATCAGCGGGTAACATGGGTCATATTTCATTTTCAATAAAATTAGAGATCCCCACGAAATTGCAATAAAGTAACCTAAGGTGTTATAAATTTGCCTAAAATGCCCGAGCGAAGCAAGAGTAAGTCGCTTGTATATAAATATATGGTAAAGGACATAAGAAGCTTGAAGTCACTTGTATTCGGAAACCTTCACATCCTACTCACACGCGATACATTCACGCCGTGAATCATCATACCGCAAATGTTCAAAGACACCGGGCACCCGGCCTGACCCCACCGTCTAATTCAATCAGGCTATTCCTATTGACAAATCCACACTTTACGACATCTGATTCAGGGCCTATTTTTTAAAGAGAAAGGAACATATTTAAAACACCATGTTTAATTTTATTTCAGTTTAGTTTTTATGTATATTTACTCTATATTACTTTTGAGATATACAGACATTATAAGCAAGTCTTTTCCATCACTCTATTTCCACCAATATAGAAATCTAGATGTTTGACTAGTCCGAAATCTGTATAGGTATCTTCTTCATATAAATTTAAGTACTCCAATTGAATTGAGTGATGGTTGTCAAGGTTATGAGCATTTAAATATTCTTTAAATCTAGCTTTCCAAACAACTAGGGGCTCACACTCGCTTCCCTCGGGTTCGTCCCTAGCTTGTTTTCCCATACAAACTTTCAACCCCATTTTCACCCCCTTAATGGATGATTTCCAGGATAAAAAGTATCCTATATCCTTTCCAGAGTCTCAAACTATCTTCTTACCAAATTTCTTCTAAATCGGTTCAGTAGATCCAGAGATTACCCACTTCAACGTCACAAACTCACAAACTTTACCTCTTTATAATATTAGTATAGATGATAATACACGACATATGTTACGATAATTCATAATAGATGTACCTATAATATATTAACAAAATTACTTGTTACATAAAAGTATTTCATACTTATTCGAATATCGACTCATTATATTTTCGTCTTTGTTAGGATTCTTAGTGGAAAACCATGACAAGTCTATTAGATTATAAACATTAATTATTAGGCTTAAGCCTTAGGTACCTAAAGCTTAATAAATCAGGTCGTAAAGTACTTGGTTTCGAAGACAATATGAATATAGCTCCCTAAAACTCTATGATACAAGTAACTTGTTTTCAGAACGATTCTACAATATAATTTTTAACAATAATGAATGTAGGTTTCTACAAGGTTTTCACAATTAACGCACTATTCGACCGAAGCAAACAGTCCCACGGTCTACAAATGGTGCATATCTAATGTACGTTCCAATAAACTTGTAGACGTACTGTCTATATTGATTGTATACTGAAAAACCAATTAGCATATGAGTCATCTTATAAAATTATCGTATTGTAATATTTGTAAAATCTTAACATTAAGTATAAATGTTAATACTCATTAATTATTATTAGTAGATACTTCGAGTGGTTTTGTAACTGTTTACTGTAATAGTAAAGTAAGTTTATTTTTGACACAAATGGGAATTGAATTTGTAACCTTTGTCTTACTAGAAAATTACATTCACTCAAACAGCAACGATATAGTGATTTGTATGTAAGTATGTTTGTATGTATGGTTTAAAGCGAAGCATCAGAAACTATTTTATTTAAAAAATCATTTAGATAAACAGTTTGTTTAAAAAGCTTATAAATATAGACTATTTAATATTATATAAGTCCTCAAAAGGCAACAGTATTCATTAACCTAACCAATTAGGTAAACTGTGGACGTGAACAACGTAAAGTATCATTATAATATCTATGAGATCATCACATGAAAAAAAAAATTTGTCAATACTAACAGGTTATATTATGGCTTCAACTGCCGAAAAATGCTTTCACTTCGTAAGGGTTGTTTTTTGTTGGAAACAAGTTTTATGATAATAAGGGTCAAAAGCGATGGAACGTGGTAACAGGCAGTTAATGCGATAGTGTACTTTAGACTTTAATAGTGGGTGAAGATGGTAAGGTATTTTAGGAAAAAACTTGTTTTTTTTTAATATTATCTTATTAGCCCTTTGTCTGGTTAAATTTGCGTTACATAATTTCGTTTTTTATTCAAAGGAACATCATTGTAAGTCAGTATTGCGTCAATTTTGAATTTAATTTTTATAATATATTAATTTAACTTATATTTTCAAAATTATTTCAATTCAGAGTTGCAATGTTGTTCTTTGCAGGTGAGCATATATTATCCGATTCATTTGTTTTAAGTGTTTTATGCGATGTAAATGTATGAAATATGAATATAGCAACCATTTTGGACGGTTATAAATACCTATATGAATATTGTACGTACATGACATATGAATATTGTATTTTACTGCTAATATATCTTCTGAGGGTATATTTGTAAAGGTACAAGAAATAGTTTAATGGGTCTGTTTATCGGAAAAAGTTCCAACGTGCTTTGTTTAGTTAGGACTGCTATCAAAATCGTGTCAAGATCTGTAAACAAGATAACTTCACTTATATGTATGTGTCTAAACGTGTTGTTTTTTTTTTATCGTAGCCCATATTCACACTAGGTTAGTACTATTAAATATAAAAATATTGATATCATATTTCCGATACTAAAAATCGATATTAAAAATTATAGATAAAGATTTTTTTTATGAGAAAAACTATTCTGAGCAAATATGAAAGTATAGAAGTAAGTATTTTGTTTTTTTACATGTTTTTTTTTATGTTGGGAATTTCATTAAAGTAGCTTCTACCGCATACTAAATCAGAATACATTATTATCTTTAGGTACCTAATCCTAAAGCTGTCTTTAAATTCTAGCTTAAGTATATTTTTTTATTTGACTCTACTCCTAAACACCTGTAAATCCTTTAAAAATATATGTAAATTGTAAACATATTTTTGCACTTCAAGTGCTACCTGTGCGACGAATATTTAAAAACCGGTTGTTTACTTAAAACTGGAGAAACTGTATATTGTAAAATGCTAACTTCCAACAATGACACTGTATATTTTAATGGTAATTACGTTTGCAAGCAAATAAAAAAAGTCATTCACATATGGTTAATATACAGATCTAAAAATTTAATCTTCCTCTTCTCTTTGAAATAGTTTTTTTTTTCAAATTACCAAGATTTTATAAAAAATCATTCAATAAAAAATTAACTGTAAAATATTCCGTTTATAATCATCGAAAGTATCGCGAAACATAAAAAGAAAGGAAAAACAAAACAGTCAAGTACAAAACATTTTCCCGTTAGTAAGTATGATAAAAAAATATATTTATCCTTTAGTTCGTTCGGCACTCTACCTTTTATTG